AACCCGCAGATTTTTCCGTTGAGATGAATTACTTGGGCGCGGCCCATTTAATCTGATCCGGACCTGTTGTGGACACTTATCCCGTGTGATCAGTTTTAAAAACGGCTGTAGATAAATGGTACCCCTTGTTAAATCGGGGTACCTTTGGTGGGGTGTCACGACCATATACATTTTCGTTTTCAGCAATGCGCACTTTTAATCGCACATCTCGTTTGTTAAGTACAACATTGAGATCAGAGGTTGACTTGATAAAATATGGTCATTTATATGAACCCAATGATCGCTTTTCGTATCAAGTATGATAAACTACGTATACGGAAAAGCTTACATCTGCCTGATGCCGCCAACAACTCCAGACAGCTTGGCAATAAGATGGGGAAGTCCAATCAAAACAAAATGCAATTTATGATCAATTTGCGGCCGTTGCAAAACCATGCAGAGGATTAGTATGCGGACATACTTCAAAGTTCGTCATCAAGTAGGGTCAGAGATGTATAAATACATCACATAAAAACAAAAACTATGGAAAACTTTGGTTTCAGAGCACAACTAAAGATGAAAGTGAAAATTTCAAAACTATCACGGTCATGTATGACCTATCGCTTCGATTTCTTCAGCTTCTTAATCGCTAGCCGTGGTCAACGTAGGCTAGCCCTTGTCCTTTATTTTGATATCTCCAAGGCATTCGACCGCGTTGACTAGTCACTACTTATCCATAGGCTACAAGCCCTTAAACTTCTTAAACCCCTATTAGGCTGCATTAAATCTTTTCTTTGTAACCGTTCACAAGTTGTAAAACTCAAGCCTCAGCCTTCTAGACCTAGGCCAATTACTTCTGGTGTAGTTCAGGGTAGCGTGATCGGTCCTCTTCTTTTCACCCTTTATGTTAATGACCTTTGCAAATGCTTTTCGGTTGGTAAACCGTCTTTATTTGCTGACGATCTAAAGGTTGCATACACATTCTCATGTGACGGCCTGCCCTACTTCTAGAGGTCAGTAAATATAATTTACTTCCTTGTGCCTTGGTACCCCGCTCTCTGTTTTCTCCATTCTTATTGTAAATAGAATCTTGGAAACCTTCAATCAGATTGGAATTACGATATTTCATCAGTACTTTTCTCAAGTATCACTGCATCCTTCTTCAAGCAACTCCTATGCAATCCTGCAACCTGTGATGAACACCCTTATGACATCACAGGAAGATACTTCCTTGAAGCCTTTTGACATTTATTAATGCGGTGTTTCGGTGTCTGAGGCCGTTTCGTCCTTTGCGACTGCAAACAGCACACAAAAATGGGGAAAAATACTTACAACTTCATCTACAGAAACGGATTCTTCCAATCGACCATGAAACCCAAAGGAATGTGGCAAACATTCATCGAGCTTTTAAGCACGAGGCAGAACAGCATGGCGACTACCGTGGACATGTGTCCAATCTAGCATGGATAAACAAAGTTTTCTTTTTTCTTCAGACCGGGGATTTCAACTACCTGGAATGAAGAGTGGTATAAAATTTTTCGTGAAAGAAAATATTACCTGAGATTTTCCACCACCAACTGTTATAACCGTATCTGTAAAAATGATACGCGCCTGTAAATTCAGGAATAAAATATTATTATTTTCAACTTTACGAAGACCTTGAAATGTTGGGAACCGAAACATTTTCAAATACATGATTTTTCGCCGGCAGTTTAAAGGTGCGAGTCAGTCTGTGTGACTGAGCAGTGGGTCATACGGTTCCTTTCTAAAAAACCGGAGAATTCTGCTGACTATGCCTTTAGGGAAGTTCTCTCTCAATATGTGGCAATTTGGGGGTCCATTTGCGATCCAAAATCCTCACAAGTCTTAGCACAAACTTTCATTTCATATAGGGACATATTTACATTTCAGACCACTACAATTGCACTTCCTATTTCTGACGGCCAACTCCCACCACAATGAGTAACTAAGGTAATTATCTTTCCCAAGCCGATTTTCCACGTCCTTCTGTGTAGCCAAGAAGAATGGCAAACATATCTTCATATATAATACACTTATGAGGCCTGAAGCTTATAAAGACTCTAACAGCAGCAGATATGCTGTCACCGAACCACTGGGTTTGGGATATCGAGAGATCTGAAGTACTCCTATGGAATTCTCATCCCATGTGTATGTGTGTAATAGCCTTGTTGTATGAAGGAAGAGTTTCACCAGTGGTGTTCTCGGCTATGAGCAGCGAACATAAAGATTAGAAGACAAAGGACCAACCTAACTATAGATAATAAAGATATAACCACATAATCAGGAATACCACGCATAACTATGACAAACATCCATTCAATGCAAAGATACTGATCACTTTCATCGGACCACTAAGAACTGAAAAGCACAACCGTTACCATTAAATTTGAGGCGCTAGAGCTATTAAGCCATGCAAGAGTCATTCCAAAACGTCGCTTACCTCAACATTCTGGCACTTTCACGCCAAGGGGAAGCAGGCAGAGAGGCGATTGAAGATAAACCTGTCTTCTCTGAAAAGAAGAACAGGATTTTTATTGTTCTGCAATTGTTCTACCATGATAAAAAATCCATCACATTTCACGGAGTGTGCAATCCCGAAACCACGAAAGGAATAATTGAACTGAACCTGCACGTAAAAAACGTAGGAGGTGGTTTCAGTCGTTATTGCCCGGAACGTGACCGCCGTTACTTAAATAAATACAGACCAGTACCGAGCTACGCATCACCTTAATTGTGTATTAGTGATCATGATAAATGACAAGTAAGAAAACACGTTATATCCTAAGAGGTACCCGAAGGAGCAATCTATTCACTAATCTAAAGCAAAAATGCTATTTCAAGGAAGACGTTGGAGCTTATCTGCCTGTGGACGGCTGGACTGTGAAATTTGTGCGACTGTTGGTCACCTCAGATAAGACGCTGAAGTCGCGAATATCGACGAACCGATGCCTAACTCTGAAGGCACCCACCGACGCCGTACACGGTTGATTAGGTAATATTTGTATGTTTCAGATGCTCATTTATTTATTTCAGGCCTAGCGGTATTTTGTGATGATAAGTTGCTCCGCAGGTGTATTGAACTTCTAATCACGCATTCAGAATCTGCGTGTGTAAATAGAGGTATACGAATGGCTCTATCGATCAGCTCGGTGTAAATGTAGAGGAACACGTATGGACCACGACACTTTAACTTTACTCTCTAGGTCCCCTTCAGTGTTTCAGTGAGGGATGTTCAGCAACCAGGAGGGTGGGATATGGAAATAGACCGTCATCAGTCTCCTACAGTTTTTCCCGTATGCTAGCATGAGGTCCTCAGCCATGCGATTTTGGATTTTAGTCAAATCGTTGACCAACCCCTATATTTCTTTCTTCATCCTAAGGTTGCCTGTGACATAAAGAAACCCTATGGCTCCTTCACGAAAGTGGGAAAGCGAAGTGGATCATAGACGGGGTCTTGAGGCGCCTCACTAAATAGTGGGTATCGATCAAACAATGCAGAGCCAATTCTGTCTGAACGAAACCACTTACCAGGACCGTACCTAAACCAACTGGGTAGCTGACGATGAATACCTGGGGGCTAAAGTATCTTTTCACATTATATCATGATCGACCCCGTCAGACTCAACAGAGAAGTCGAGCAGCTTAATGTTGACAAACCTTTCCCGTTCTGCGGAGAAAGCCAGGCCATTCTAGGCTGCCAGCCGGCTAGTGTTATGAGACCTGTCAGATGGAAACCCATGTTTAGAGCCACTTAAGTCTGAGTTCCTGATCAGGAAACTAAGAAATAATTTATTCGCTTCTGTCGCCATGGCCCTCGAGACTGAAACAGTCAAAAGGACTTGCCTGTAGTTCGGGGCTGTTAGCTTGCTATCCTCATTTTGTGCTGACATGACGGCCGCCTATTTCTGCACAAATGGCAAACCACTCCCTTAGGATAGCTAACCGAAGGGTTTTCACGATGAAACGCACAAAATATCAGCACACTCTTCAAATACTCTTCAGTGAAAACCATCAAGCCACGCAGGCTTATGGCGGTTCGGGACTCTGAAAGTCCCAAACTATAAACAGCCCAACCCCCCGACATTTCAGATGTCCTGTTCACATGAAGTTTAGACCACAGTTTGAAAAAAATAAGGCTGAAATTCCTGATCTGGTGAGTCAGCCGCTTCACACTTGGTCCAATGAGTCTTGAAACTACTAGGTACTAGTATGTCAAGTGGAAAATCGCTCTTCTTCCTCTTCCTCTTCTTCTTCATTAGTGAGTGTGGAGATCTGTGGCCTACTTTTTGCGTTATGCACAAAGGTGTCTGGCACTTTACTGGAATCAAAGTTGAGTCCAGAAGCATAATCGACGGATTCTCAATCGGTGCACCAAGAGATGTGTGTGTTAAGATGGTATTTTGTGGTGGTTAGTGTAACTGTCTATCGATTATACCCGGGTTGAAAGTGGTAATGAGCTGATGGGCGTTGTAATTACCAAGTGTGAGTACTTGAGATCAGTTTATGTCTGAAGCTGAACTTGTGTGTTTCGGAGAGTGGCTGTTTGATCCTGAACTGTGATAGGTGGTAGGTAGTATCTGGGATGTAAATGTTAAATCTGTGGTCGTTATGGCATGCTAATATTGAAAATTAGTCCTTAACAGTGGTTCTAGTCTGTTCCTTTCATAATCTTGGTGAGAAATTTTGTCAAGAGATCCACATACGAGATCTAATTCCATTATCACAGAAGCATAGTTTAAGAAAGTCATTAAGTGCCACTGCTGTAACAAGAAGATTTGAGAAAAACATTGGAAACTCACATTTGGATAATATACAAGTTGATTTCACGGACTATTCGCACCATGAAAAGACCACTTCTGTGGTTCAAATTGGTAAATATAGTCTTTTCACCACATAACCGTCTGTAAAAATACATCTGTTTGTTATACTAAGCCACATACAGATTATTTTCCTTCAGTGTGAAGTTCACTTATAAGCGCTAGTTTTGCAATAACTTGGAGATGGCTACTTTTAAAGGTGCTGCCAGGGAAGCTCAAAGGGCTGCTCTGTTAATGAAGCAGCGTGAAAAAGAACGTCAGGAGCTGGAACTCCAGAAGAAGAAACTTGAGGCGGAAATGCGAGTCGGGGAAATGTCGACAAAGTTTGCCGTACATTATGATGCAATTGAACACCAATTGAAGACCAATACAGTATGTAAATTATGCCAAAATAGTCATGTGTTAGATTGGTTTGGTGACGCTGGATGAAATGAAAGCTCGCCAAAAAGCCTTCATGACACAAAGAGAGAAAGAATTGGCTCTGGGGAATTCTAGAGGACTCTCACACAAGTCCGGAAATGCAGCACTGGAAAAGAAAAAGACTCTTCAGCCTGCAAGTTTAACTTGTGTATTCTTACAAAATGTAGAGTTTACTGTCATTCGCTGATGAAGAGGACGCCGAAGACATCATTAAGCCCCAACTTCTGTTGCCAATACCTATGAGTTGACGGAAAAAGTAGAAGCATAATAATTTTTTGATGTCTCAAGATATATTTTAGACTGAAGAACAGCTGGAACCTGAGGAACTCACACCTGTTGCTGATGAGGATGTAGCTAAAACTGAGAGTGAGAACCATGCTAAACGTAGACGTCTGGGGAAAAATCCAACAGTTGATACTAGTTTCCTTCCCGATATTGACAGGGACGAAGAGGAAAAGCGTTTGAGGTAATTTGTTAATGATTATTTCTCAAGTCTTTCGATGATGGAAACGGTTTTACTAGAGCTTGTTTGAGGTATTCAAACTGAAGTAACTGCTATGTTTTTAATTACGTTTTGATATCAGTTAAGATAGTTCTTTAAAATTGAACGTTAGCAAGGTGATTTAGCATGTGTCAATCCTTCAGTCGCCCATTCTAGCGATGTTGTAGATTGTACACTATATTTGCTTGTGAAATATTTAATTATAGCCTTTGACATCCACTAAAGTTGGTGGATTTGTCATGTCCATAATCAGTGGGTCGTAATCCAAAAGTATCGTTAGCGGTTGGAGTTTGCTGTGTTACGTGTGAGCATTTGGTGATTAAAGAGCCATCTCTATGAACAAGGTATGTTAGTACAGATAACGAAGGCTTCTTCATACGACTTCGCGGTCCATATGTGTTTTTTGTATTACTGCTTAATAAGTCGCCAGCAAAGCAGTATCACCAAGCATGATGATGCTATTGGCTTTATTTTGTTTCTACTTATTGTTTGATGCAGTAAGTCATACACCAGTATGTGACACATCATTTCAGTCTGAATTGCTTGTCAGCTGATCTCAGCCTTCGATCCTTATGCCGTGTAAGTTCGAGCTGTAGATAGAGAAAAGTTTTAGTCTAACAAGGCAAATACGGACCACTTTATGCCATTCTGGATATGAAGGTAGTTCTAATTTTAGAGTGATACTGAATTAACGATTAAATTCTCACCCACTGAGTATTCTGACGATTTAAATAGTCACACAAACATTTGACCTAAGTTATTGACAACTTTGCGCGTAGATTCCTGTACCTATTTTAAACTGTTACAAGGGTAAAATCGCACCGAGGTAAGCAACTCTCATTATCCAAATGCTGAACTTGCCGACGTAACTTGATGTTATTCTCAGCTTCCAACAGGCTATTCATAGACTTCATTTTTTTCGAGAAGAGTCACTGTTTTTCTTGGACAAGCTTTTCGAGAATTGTGGAGATCGGTGACGATTTCATGAGTTCAGTCTCTATCTAAAACCAACTAGTCAGCCATAATTCCTGTTGATATTCCATTTAACTTCAACGTAGGTACCAATTCTAATAAGTAACTCATCGTGTGTATATAAGACATTTTCGAACCATGATTTCATGAATTTTTTGAACAAAGCCTGTCAGTGTGTTTTCAATATAGAAATTGGTATGCATGCGTAATAGTCCAGGTTACCGGGCCTGCACACTAAGATAGGTAACAAACAGGAAGTCAGAGTAGTGAAAATAACGTTGAGAATTCTTAAAGAAATATGAAGAAAAAATGAGAGATATAATACAAATGACAAACTGTGGCACTGTGGTGATGAAAATAAGGCTTGAGTGTGTCCGTGCTACTGACTAATCCCAAGGCATATCACCTAGTCTCCAACCATTGGTCATGGTTGTCTTATAGACCCTGCTGAACCGTTAGCCTACTTTTCTCTACCACTTCTAGACTTGGTTACTCTTTGTTTCTTTCGCACCTTATATTACTGTGGTAGAAATTCCCACAACCATTTAGCAGAACAGAACGGGCTGCAGCACAGTATACTCGTACGTTGATAGATAGTCGAATATCTCCCCAGTCAGCACCATAGATGATGCAGGTTGGTAAACCTCAAACCAACTTTCTGTATCCGAGCTGGGATTTCGTTAGCAATCATTCTGTTCTGGTTGACGCTTCTCCCCAAGTAAGTGACGCAGTCGGCACATTCCATTCCAAAATTGATCATATTAGTTCAAATACACCCACTCTTCTCCACTAAATCTTGAACGTATTAAATTTCTTCTGCTCCATTCCTTAACTTATTTCATTTTTATTTTTAATCATTTATCAATATTAGTATCATGAAGAAGCATTAAGTTACTTTCACACACAACTTAAACGACTTTCTTTTGTCTCAGGGAAGAACTACGAAGAGAATGGGTAGCAAAGCAGGCTGCTATTAAAGAGGAGGAAATACTTATCACATACAGCTACTGGGATGGATCTGGACATCGCAAACAAGTTCGAATGAAGAAGGGTCACTCAGTGCATTTGTTTTTACATCGCTGTCTAGAACAACTTCGTAAAGACTTTTCTGAATTAAAATCTGCTAGTGCAGATCAAATGATGTATATTAAAGAAGATTTGATCATTCCTCATCATTATACATTTTACGATTTTATTGTAACCAAAGCTCGTGGTAAATCTGGACCCCTATTCTGCTTCGATGTTCACGATGATGTTCGTCTTCGAATGGATGCAAATGTGGAGAAAGAGGAGTCACATGCTGGGAAAGTGTGTCTGCGTAGCTGGTACGAGCGTAACAAACACATATTTCCCGCTAGTCGATGGGAGCCCTATGATCCTGCTAAGAATTGGGATCAGTACACAATATCAGATAAGATGTCCGCAAAAATCACTATCAAGTGAAGTATTTATTCTTTTGTTTTGCCGCACCTTCTTGAAGGTTCTTAAAGTTGTAACTATGTGTAAAGTTATTTCGTTTCTTTTGTAACTTAAATTACTTATTTATTGTTTAGAGAAATAACAAAAGTCAGCATCCTATAAAGTCTCATTTTTTCTTCCTTAAGATATAGGAATAAGGACAAATGAATCGTCCAAAAAACAAACGGTAAGCAAGAGTAAATTTGGTGGATAGAGTTTTTTAGGGTATTTGGAAATGTGATTCTAGAAGTTCGATCTTCCGTAGAAGCAGCCGCAAACCCATCAGCTTAGGTTTCTTAAACGCTGGTATTTCTCTGCAATGTCGTCGTGTCTGATATATGCGAGGAAACCTATTCCATCTGCCTCTGATAATAATGAAGAGCGAAAGAAGCTCAAAAGTTAACCGACTCGTAATCTCTTTAATGACCTCGAGCAGTGATGGGTAGGAAAATCGAACGAGATCGAGAAATTATCGACATTCACTAATACTTGGCAGTTATTAAGCTTATTAAAGAAGATTGTAAGAAGACTATGTCAGATGAAATTATCACCGAAAAGGATAAGGCTCTCGGATCATCTCAGTACAGGTGGCTGAGACTGGGCGGAACACTGAAAAACAGTTCAACAACAACGCTTCAGTTCTCGAGCATTCAGTCTGAACCTGAAAGGGATGTAGATAACAATCCCCCAACTGTCACCGAAATTGAGGTTGTTTCTAACCTAAAAGGCTGCCAAGCAGTAGGATCTGACAGTACGCTATCATAGGTTATCAAGCATATAGGTACAAGGTTACTGAGTAGAGTAACTGAGACACTAGATGGTGTATGCGAATCTAGGTTAGTCCCGTCACACTGTTCTACATTCTTGTTCGTCCCAGTTGGTAAAAAAGACATGACACCAATCAATGAAATCTCCAGTTGTCGGTCTAAGTCGTATTGTTAGGTGCAAACTGCATGAATGGGATCTTCCAGGCGTTAGGAATCAGTTGTGGTAAACTCTCTGTGATTGTAAATTGATCACAACTGCGCGAATGCTTACGCTTTATTGGTTTTGACATGTTAAGTAGTTTACTACCCTTTATTTATTTCCTCTCCTTTCATGTACATGTATCTGTGTGTGTGTGTGTGTGTGTGTGTGTGTGTGTGTGTGTGTCATAACTCACTTTTCGTTTAAGCCATTTCTTCTTTACGTGCTAATTTAAACTGTAGCAACTTGAACTGATGCACGTGCTTGTAAGGTTCTGCCCTAATTCACCTGTTTCTTGATTCTGGAAATAGCAACAGTCACTGAAGACAATGAGGAGCACTTACACCTAAAATTTGCTGTCTGTCTAATTTCTTGATAAAAAGATTCCATACTTCACCAGCACGCCGTCCATCAACTCAAGCTAGCATAACTTTTTGTCTTCCCCTGTTATCAGAAACAAATAACGCCATCGAGTACTATAAGATCATGGTAATGTCTGTAGATAAAAATAATCACCACTTTGACGAATTTTAAGGAAGATAAACTGACTTTAAAAAAATTATTTTGAAACATTCAAAGTGGTCCTTCCGATGTTCATATCATAAGTTCAATCAGTCCACTACTAACACCAAATCAGAATAAATGTTATTATAGACCTTGAATTGTAAATTGTGGCTAAGCATCTCACTTGCTCTTGTTCAACTAGAGGTATCTTTGCTACGCAGAAATCCAATATAGCTTAGTTTGACTCGGCTGGCATGGAACGTACTAGTAATCAGTCTGGTTACCTTATTGTATATATACTCGTTTACTTTTTCTAATACATCACAATCGACATAGTCAAATGCCGTCTTCAGATCAAGAAATATGGCTAATTTTGGCCATTCACTGGTAACTTTGCCTGTGTTCGAAAACCTGTCGAACGGTGAGAATATGATCGATTCACCCTCGTTCAGGTCTGAAACCTGCTTTTCTCGAGCTCCAGTTAGGTGTTGGATAACTGTAGATCCCAGGATTTGAGACAAAATATTAGCCAAACTGATTCCCCCATGGTTGTCACAGAGGAACTTCTTATAAACTGAGATGATCAGTGAACTAGACCAATCTGATGGCACTACCTCTGAATCATATACACTACTTAGTACCTGTGTCATTCTAATCAAAAACTTTCTACCTCCATTCTTGAAAGCTGTTGGTGGCAACCTGTCAGGTCATGCTGCTTTTCATCGTTTCAGGTTTGATGCAGCTGTCTGCACTTCAAGGAGATTTGGTGGACCAACATATATGTGCCATTCAGGTCCAAGCTGGACGTTGGGCAACTAAAGCGTTGTTAAGGGTCAGTTAGACTGTGTTTCAAAGTGTTCTGCTCGACGTTATAGCTCTCTTTACTGAGAAGTTATCGAAGTCCCATTCCTTTCGGTGTTATGGTTTTCTATGGATACTAGTGTTTAAACTCCCCTCTTGTTTTCGCTTTATTTTGCAATCTAAAATCACTAATTCCCCTTTCCCACTTTCTAATTTATCGGTAAATTGCATTGCTTTGACTGCTGAATTTATAAGTTTAAATACACTGTCTATCTGCTGATATTTTGACACCATAAACGCGTTATCTACTTGTGGAAACCACTTTTTTGGAGCACAACTGAATTTTTCGACACCCATCCTTTCCCAACTATCCATGAATATGTCTGCTAGAACAGCGGATATTCGTGATCTTATGGTTATTCCTGTTTCTTTGTATTTTTATTCTGAAGCTTAAAAATTGGAGAAGTAGGCATAGCTGCATTCCTGAAAGGATCTCCTCTACTGGCACCTTATTTTCTAACGCAAGCTGATGGCCAGTGTTGAGGTCACTTCTGACTCCTCCCAGAGCCATGTCAATTGGCATATTAGTATACTAACTGCCTACATCAAAACAAACATTTTTCGATGCCATCTACATGTGTACCATCTAATCTAAGCTTCAAGTGGCGAGAATTATTCAGCAAAAATTTAGAGAGGTTCCTAACCAGGAATACAACGACAGCAGCAAGAAACGCTGTCCTGCTTCCAGTGTAAATATCGTTATTTATACATTATGGGTTACATGCTCTAACACCCAACTAATGTTGCTTCAGTTCAATGTTGATATGCAACTAACTCGATTACAATCTGTTCGCTTCACACTTACAAGATTGATCAGGACCGGTAACCTAATACCTACTTCGGTTGCTGCTTAGATGCACCCTCACAGTTCAGTCTTCCTACAGCAACGTGATCTACCGATAAGAAGATGAAAACACTTCGGCTTCTCTCCTGGTCTCCTTACTATTAGATGGTTCAACGTCGAGTTTAAAAAACAGCAGTTCAAAGTTAATAATTGATGAGTCATTAATGAACAAAGGATATGTTGACGACATCTCCATAATTTCCCATGATGAATGAGATTAAAGTTGTGTTTCCCGAATATGTAACAAGTGACACCCCCAGTCACAGTGTTGCAACTGATTCGGCGTTCAAAGTCAACTAAAGGTTGTGACGAAATTTGTCGAAGATCGTAAGTTTCCACCTTCTCTCCATCACACCTGGAAAAACTTCAACTGTCTTTATAAAAGAAATTTGTTCAAGGTTTCTTGCTGCCTTGAAATCATTTCATAGCTTTGAATGTCAACCCTCTTTCTCTATCACCCACTACCTACATATGCACAGTTTCGATATATTTTATTATATAGTGTACATATTTTATATTATACTTAACCATTCAATATCCTCTTAAATCTACCTCCATGCAACACTAAGTCAGTCTTTATCTAAAAAATGTTTTTTCATACTCTACGACTTCATATCCTATCCTGTCATTTGTGTTGATCTCTGTGCTCTCTTGCCACTAATTTTTACCTTATTTCACACTTGTGATATATTGATCCTCATTCAACTTGATCTTTGTTACCAGGTTCAATAAAATAATGTTTATCACTGTGCAGAGAATGAAGAGAACAAAAGAGTCAAAGTTGTATAGCCACAGAAAGTGAAAACTATGAGACAGATACTTTCGCTGAACTTTTTAACTTCTCTAACGTTTAGACATATATTTTTAGCAATACAAAAGACAAACCACTATATGATCGTATTTTCACGATGATTATAATTGAAGGAAATGAAAGGAAATAACTAGCTCATTGTTTCATCGCAATTACTGTGTTATGGAGGCAAAAACATTTTTTCCTCCTTCGGTGAATTTTTCGACACAATTGACGTAGTGCAAATCTTGTTCCCAATACCTTTTAGAGAGTGGTAATTACTTTCAAACTGAAACATTGACGTAACCCGCAAATTGTTTTCTCAGTTGAAATGTAGATATATTGTCGACAGTAAATGATACTTTTGCATAGAATAAATTTCTTAGACAAGCACAGATGTCCTTGAGTTTCCTAGAGACATTGGAGAGATGTGCATTTAATTATTATGAGGTTACCTTAACTTCCCATCGAATTAGAAAACTCTCCCTAGACCTAAAATAAAAGTTCAGTTTGATTAATCAAGCAAATGATATCTTATCAGCTTCCAACAAGGATTTCGAGCAATCCTGAAGTGTTGTCATCAATATATCGGTACAAGTTCATATTTTAAACAGCTGTTATCAAGAGAGAGTAAAAACCAATTGCCTGTTATTTTAAAAAAAACAAGGATTTGCTGTTGGTCAATCTTCATTAAGACAATGGTATTGTTCACATAGATCGTGTAGAATGCATTGCGAAATTGTTATCCATCGTCTCTCATAAAGGCAATTTTTTTTAAAAACAACTTCAAAAGATTCAAACAAACAAATCATTGAAAATTTTATTGGGACTTTGAAGAAAGTGAAGAATGAATCAGTCATCAGCGTTGAGTTAATGAAGCGACTACAGCTATCTGGTTTGTCATTCCTCATCTAAATGGTCTTCCAAAAATACACAAGGAATATGGTTTATTACATCCCATTTTGGATGTGAAGGGCTTGTCAAACCATACGATCTCTAACTGACTCTGTGACATCTTCC